TAATATATATTTTAAAATTTTATAATACTTTACTTAAAATATAATAAAATAGAAATGCAAAGTCACCATCAATATTTGCAAACTACTTGCCTTTCACTCAAAATCAGACTTTTTTCTGTCATTCAACTTGCCCAATAGACGGTAGGAGGTGATACAATAATTTCAACCATCTACCACATGATAATTTAAATATTTGTAGACCATATTGAGTTATTACAAATCTTCATGATTTTGATTTCATAATGTTCAATACATCCAAATGTAATAACAGTAACAAAAGAATGAAAGAATAAACACAGACTGAAAGAAGGCAATTTCGAGAAAAACAATTTATTATTTAGTCTTTGGTTATTGTTGACCATTTGATCTTTCTTTTTTTATCATTTTACATGGCCACACGTCTAGTAGTGATGAGCACTATTAAAAAAAAATTAGTACTCATCCAAACTTTAGATGAAATGAGGAGTATTGCTGTCATATATTAGTCCACTGGTTAAAAAGATGTAAATAAATGGTAAATCCATGGTCATCGGCGGCCATTTTGAATTTTGTAAGCCATACTGTAGTCCCAATTAACTCAAGTAATTGAAAAGGGGTTTGTTTTCATATTCAATACACCAAAGTAATGAAAAAATTAATTTGGGATGATAAATCTGCCATATTTCCAGGCAAGACAGCTATATGCAAAAGACATGTTTTGTGGCAGCTATGTTGGATTTCAGGATTTTTCATCTCAATTAAAAGATTTCAACTTGAACAAACACTACAAGCAGAAAGTACAGACTCCATGCTACACCGTAGATGGTGCAGACGTGTTACGTTTCAAAATATCAGGATTTGGAACAAAAGAAGTTTATTGTGACAACGGATGGCTCGTTGTGATGAGAAGATATGACAACACAATTAACTTTAATAGAAACTGGAATGAATATAAGCTTGGTTTTGGGGATCCCCGCCTTCAGTTCTGGATGAGCAATGAGGCCCTTCATGCGTTAACCAGTCAATGTTGATATGTTGTCCTGCAACGGCAATTATTACTACGTCAAATGGAACCTGTTCAAAATTCATAATGAGGCAATGCAATATGCTGTAGACGCCATTACTCTCGAGTCCTACAACACCACGAGCACTTCGTCCTTTCGGAACTACTGACAACATTAATACCTACTCTCCTATTAACTCTAATAAAAATTGTGCTAAGCAACACGAAGGCAATATTATTTATAATTTAAAAAATAATGACATTTCAGCACGGCGTTTCGTTGGCTTAGAGGGCATTATAAAACTCGTATAGGCAAGACATAGCGCCCAAGGTCTACAGTTTTTCTTCTTTCACTTTGGTTGACAGATATTTTCCTTCTTTGAGTTTATTCGACAATTTTTATAAAGTAATGCATAAGATATCGCTGTCTTCTTAAAATACTGAAATAAAAGTTAAGAACATTATACAATTAACGATGTTGGCTGAAGTTGATTTAATTTTTTCTGATTTCGCAAAACAACATTGACCAAAACCTAAGAGTCAATAAATGTAACATTTATATCATACCATACCTGAAGGTCGGTATACTTTTGTTAAAATTTACATAAGTACCATGCAATATATATATTTATATAGCAAATAACATGGCACACAAACTGCCAAGAATCACAATCGTTAATTTGGACAAAAATGTTTGCTAAGTTTAGTCTATCTAGAGCGAACAAGCACTGACGGACGCTTTCTTCAACAAAAGGTGTGTCATTCAGAGTAGGTTATGACGGTTTTTTCTTGAGAATATTTTATAATTATCGGTAATCTCTTCGCCCGGACTCCACTCTGAAGATACATATAACACCCAAAGAAATAATACATTTGGATTATCACCAAAGTCATCATTTAACAAAAATGTGGATCTTTTGTTTGAAATTCGTAGTGTTAGGAAAATTGCCCTTGATAATGACGTTGTGGATTGCTGTAGGTGCGACGCACACTGCATTGCATCGCAGCAGAACCGCTCAGCATTTCAAGGACCTGTCTGATTTACCACATCAAAAGGCTGAACCGTGAAAATATTGGACAGTGCAGAACGTTCACCTCCTACATTTCTTAAACACACATAATCGCGTTCGTCAACAATTTGTAGTCATTGAGTGGCTTTCTATTCGCCTTTGTGTCTCCGTCATATTTATTATCAACTTTTTGATACTTTTTCGGTAAACGCACGTCTCTTTGACCGAGCGCATGTTGGTGAAAGTCGTTTTTTAATGATAATCCTTTACTGAACTGAAAAATCCAAAGACATTTATTGGAAATGTCCACGTAATTCACCACATTTTGAAACATGTACTGGGATATGATAAACCGAATCACTCATCTGCGGCAGTCCTCAAAATGAAACGCTAGTTCATCAAGGATAAGGCCATAGCTCCCCGAAACGTACCGTAATGGCCGTCCGCCGTGGCTGACTTTGTACGCCGGTGACGTCTCTATGCCGTATGGTCCATAGCACGCGGTGTTCGTCACCAAGGCGATACTCCCAACAAGTAAGTATACACCTTGATATTCCGTAACCCTCACGGTATGGATGTACTCGTTATTTGAAAGAACGACGCTGACTGGAGTCCCTGGAGTCTGTCCGCGTATCGAAGTTCCAACGCCGCCATATACAAAACGGATACTAAAATGCAAATGCAATAATGGATATTTAAAATTTGAAAATTCCCGTTGAGACCAAAATAACGCTGGACAAACAAAATATTTTCCTATGTCCGATAACAGTTCATTTTGCAATGTTTTGAGTGCCACTTCAAGATCACTTTTCAGAAGAAATTACCGGAGAGTTTTACTGTTTTCCCCTATTTACGCGGATTCTAGATCTCTTTTTAGTATCAACATGCATGATCACATGATCATTTATTCTAAAAAGACGCCAACGCAGATCTGACAACGTGGTTGAGAGCCGCATAGTTAAAATGCCTGGTTTAGCGTATAATATGGTTATTCACATCCATTCTGAAAACTCAACACTAGTTTTTGCACATTTCATGTCCATCTTCATAGAATGAATGATCTGAAAACGAAAGTTCATCAAAATATGGACGGCTTACTCAACTCACCTATATATACCATCATGACCATATTGGAGATCAAACCCGCTAATGTGACCTTTGTACGCGTAATCAAGGTCACTGAATCGGTAACCACCAGCACCGCCGAAAGGTCCGTAAGACACATCGCATATTTCTCGGACTACAAGAAAATGAAGAAAAACTGAAATATCATCCAATAAAAAGCAAATTCAATCTTTATTACCAATGTGCCTACTTTCTATGCTTCTTTAAAAAAGAATTTCTCCTATGACTTTTACAATTTCAAGAAGATGAAAAACAGATGCAAAATGCATTTATTTAATTATTTTCAAGTAAATGCGGCACGCATATCTGATTTTTGTGATTTATAGGTTTTTTTTTACATGTTATAACTATGGCACAGTAAAAAAGACACCTTTCATTCTTAAGCATGTCTTTTCACTAGATGGAAATTTGTCACCCAAACAAAATACTAAATAAATAACAAGAAGAAAAAACGTACCTCCATTTGACCACGTAGATAAACCACCTTCGAGATTGTGTGATCCCACATTACTATAAAGTTCACACTCGTGGGAGACAGAATTATAGTTCACTCCGTAGCAGTCCGGCGTTCCACTGCACTTCACACTGCAGTCCGTCATTGACCATGAGGTAAGTGTTTTAATAATAGTTCCGTCAAATCGAGAATTTTTGGTGACATGATACCTTCCTTCAGACGTTCTGGAACAGGCCAAACCGGTATAAAGCGACAGGATTGCCAGAAGTAAAACGGGGGTCATCTTGCCTTTTTGTTCTCTCATGTTAGAAGTGTGTGGTTGTGCGTCAGAAACAAAATGACAGAAATGCTCTTTTTAAGCGTTGTTTTATTTATGGTGGCGTTTGTGACTGATAATGAGCTGCGTTGCTACTGACCAATAATATCCTGCGAATCAGATGCGCAACGATGAATGGGACAGTTTATTAAAGCAGTTAGCCGACCATATCTTCAAGAATCCAGTAAAACATGATAATTGGATTAAGATAATGAATCATTTAATATGAAACGAGTTTTTTTAAAAAAAGGTTCCACTTTGTAAATCGCTAGCGGAGCAGTGAGACTTGAAAGTATAGTGGTGCTTGATCAGACCGGATGGTAACACAGCGAGACGATAAGCAACTGTTCTAAGGTACCTGAAATGCACTCAGAGAGCGCAACCTCTGCCAAGACAAATAATAAACTTATAATTAACCATACATTAATTAATTGATTGATGGATCATTGCCAAAATCTAAACATTTATCCCTTGCCCCATTTCTGACGTACTTTTAAAATTTTATCGAAATCTGTACACACTAAATTAATAAATTACTTCTAAAAATATACAAAATATTTATGACTTAACTGATTAATTAATCATCTAATTGATTAATAGATCATCACTTAAATCTTATCATTTTGTCCTTGACCCATTAGTGACCTTTCCTGAAAATTTCATCAAAATCTGTCCATTCCCTTTTTTTGCCTAGCGCTCTCCACAGACAAACCCAAACCTACGGGTAACAAAAACATAACTTCGACTCCTTGTCGGAGAATTATAGCATAAGAGTTATAGCGTGGCACTGAGGGTGGGGGGGGGGGGGGGTATTGTAGCGTGGCAGTATATTTGTCATTCAGCTTTGGTCATCAATAACATATTACAAGAAAGAACAGGCTCACCAAAACGGGGCGTGCATTGTGTGTTGAGAAGATCAATCACATCAGCGTCATCTCCTGGAAAACCATCGCCTGTGAGGCTTACATATAGGTCTGTGCTTATGTGGGTGTTTTTCAATATTTGGATTAATCTGTTATATGTCTGTTTAATATCCTTTTAACAAAATTTGTGTCAAATTTATCGGCGTGTGTTTAGAGGTGTCCGTTGCGTTTGTAGAATGGGCTTTTTCTTTTACTTATCCACCATTGATAACAATTGTACACATTTGGTATTATAGGCATTATAACCATTCAAATGCACGAAATTAACCATCACATTAAAAATTGCAAAGAATATTCTTTTTCCAGANACCGGTGACGTCTCTATGCCGTATGGTCCATAGCACGCGGTGTTCGTCACCAAGGCGATACTCCCAACAAGTAAGTATACACCTTGATATTCCGTAACCCTCACGGTATGGATGAACTCGTTATTTGAAAGAACGACGCTGACTGGAGTCCCTGGAGTCTGTCCGCGTATCGATGTTCCAACGCCGCCATATACAAAACGGATACTAAAATGCAAATGCAATAATGGATATTTAAAATTTGAAAATTCCCGTTGAAACCAAAATAACGGTGGGCAAACAAAATATATTCTTAAGTCCGATAACAGTTCATTTTGCAATGTTTTGAGTGCCACTTAAAGATCACTTTTCAGAAGAAATTACCGGAGAGTTTTTTCTGTTTTCCCCTCTTTACGTGGATTCTAGCGCTCTTTTTAGTGTCGTACATGCATGATCACATGATCATTTATTCTAAAAAGACGCCAACGCAGATCTGACAACGTGGTTGAGAGCCGCATAGTTAAAATGCCTGGTTTAGCGTATTTTATGGTTATTCACATCCATTCTGAAACTCAACACTAGTTTTTGCACATTTCATGTTCATCTTGAGAATGAATATTCTGAAAACGAAAGTTCATCAGTATATGGTAGGCTTACTCACCTATATATACCATCATGACCATATTGGAGATCAAACCCGGTAATGTGACCTTTGTACGCGTAATCAAGGTCACTGAACCTGTTACCACCAGCACCACCGAAAGGTCCGTAAGGCACATCGCATATTTCTCGGACTACAAGAAAATGAAGAAAAATTGAAATATCATCCTATAATAAGCAAATATAATCTTTATTACCAATGTGCCTACTTTCTATGCTTCTTTAAAAAAGAATTTCTCCTATGACTTTTAGAATTTCAAGAAGATGAAAAACAGATGCAAAATGTATTTATTTAATTATTTTCAAGCAAATGCGCCACGCATATTTGTTTTTGGATTTATAGTTTTTTACTTGTTATAACTATGGCACAGTAAAAAAGACACCTTTCATTCTGAAGCATGTCTTTTCACTAGATGGAAATTCGTCACCCAAACAAAATGATAAATAAACGATGGAAGAAATAAGGAAAGAACAAGAAACGAAGAAGAAAAACGTACCTCCATTTGACCACGTAGATAAACCACCTTCGAGATGGTGCGGTCCCACATTACTATAAAGTTCACACTCGTGGGAGGCAGAATTATAGTTCACTCCGTAGCAGTCCGGCGTTCCACTACACTTTACAGTGCACTGCGTCATTGACCACGAAGTAAGTGTTTTAATAATATTTCCGTCAAATCGAGAATTTTTGAAGACATGATACCTTCCTTCAGACGTTTTGGAACAGACCAAACCGGTATAAAGCAACAGGATTGCCAGAAGTAAAACGGAAATTATGTTGCTTTTTTGTTCTCTCATGTTTGAAGCGTGTGGTTGTGCGTCAGAAACAAAATGATAGAAATGCTCTTTTTAAGCGTTGTTTTATTTATGGTGGCGTTTGTGATTGATAATAAGCTGCGTTGTTACTGGCCAATAATATCCTGTGAATCAGATGCACAACGATGAATGGGACAGTTTATTAAAGCAGTTAGCCGACCATATCAAGAATCCAGTAAAACATGATAATTGGATTGAGATAATGAATCATCTGATATGAAACGAGTTTTTTCAAAAAAAGGTTCCACTGTGTAAATCGCTAGCGGAGCAGTGAGACTTGAAAGTAAAGTGGTGCTTGATCAGACCGGATGGTAACACAGCGAGACAATAAGCAACTGTTCTAAGGTACCTGAAATGCACTCAGAGAGCGCAACCTCTGCCAAGACAAATAATAAACTAATAATTAACCATAAATTAATTAATTGATTGATGGATCATTGCCAAAATTTTACATTTATCCCTTGCCCCATTTCTGACGTACTTTTAAAATTTTATCGAAATCTGTACACACTAAATCAATAAATTACTTCTAAAAATATTTATGACTTAACTAATTAATTAATTATCTTATTGATTAATGGTTCATCGCTTAAATCTAATCATTTTGTCCTTGACCAATAGTGACTTTTTTATGAAAATTTCAGCAAAATCCGTCCACTCCGTTTTTGGTGCCTGACGCTCTCCACAGACAAACCCAAACCTACGGGTAACAAAAACATAACCTCGACTCCTTGTCGGAGAATTATGACATAAGAGTTATAGCATGGCACTGAGAGGCCGGAGGAGTGGCAGTATATTTGTCATTCAGCTTTTGTCATCAATAACATATTACAAGAAAGACAGGCTCGCCAAAACGGGGCGTGCATTGTGTGTTGGAAAACCATCGCCTGTGAGGCTTACATGTAGGTCTGTGCTGATGTGGGTGTTTTTCAATATTTGGATTAATCTGTAACATGTCTGTTTAATATCCTTTTAACAAAATTTGTGTCAAATTTATCTTAGAATCATTTGGAATAGTTTAGTATTATTTTTTTTTATATTTACGGCGTGTGTTTATAGGTGACCTTGTTTTAGCCAAAGGCACTGCAATCACGTTCATTATGTCAGCAAATTTAGAAAACATTATATTGGGTCCGTCAAAACATAGTGTACACTAATTTGATGACAGATAACACACGACACACCTTGTGTTTATTTCCATCGAATTGCAGGGGCGGATCCAGGTACATGTACTTTTTTTGTCAAGTCTTCTGGATCCCAACACTGCTATATACACATTAATCATTTCTTCAAATTATTTCTAAGCCTTAGTCTTAAACATATATACAGCACCATATTTACAGCATATCTTCATTTAAAATGGTATGCTCCTGGTAGTATAATTCTGCAGGCTCCAATGCACGTAAACCGAAAAAAAATTAACATTTAGAACCTCTCATCCATGTCACTGTCCTGCAAACAGTCATTGTTGAAAACTTATAATCTGTTAAAACGAGTGTTTTACCCAAATTAAATCTAAATTATTTAATGGAAAGCGTATTGATTCATTTTGTACAATGGGTTATGTAAAATGCCAAACTCGAGCCTTACACAGCGTCAATATTGACACAATAGCATCACAACAAATTATATGCAATGAGCTACGCTAAGGGAGGAAATAATGGCAGCCATGTTAGAGTCGGTGATTTTCTATGTGAGGTAGAGACTCAAATCAATTTAAATGTTGAGACTACTTAAATGTCAGCTTTGTCGATCTGGAGAGTATGCATATAGGAATCAACCTTGCGTTTAAGTGGTTGCTTTGTTTTTTTCACATGTAAAGTCGGGGATTTCTTAGAGCTTGCTGTCATGCTTGTTGGCTTATTTGTGTAGGGATCTCAGATACAGTTGTTTCGTCTCTGTTCTAGAGACACAAAGACTGGGTGCTAAATTTAATTCGTTTATCTTCAGGACATAGAGCAACAGACCCAAACACCGTCCTTGAGGTACCATTGGTGAACCTTCCCTCTTACATGATTTGAAGTTGTATATACTCTGTCTCCTTTTGGTGAGGCAGGCGGGAATACAGCAAACAATCGCTTCATGTAACCCCGATGGCCTGGATTTTGTTTAAAAGATTGCTTAATTAATTGGAACATATCTATTTTGCATTCCCCATAGAAACGTCATATGACTAATTAGTCGGGACCTTAAATCAGGAAAAATATATATCGGAACCCAGGCCTAACGTCGACCACACTCGTTGCTGTGAAAATTGTGGTTCCCAATTATCATTAAAAAGCATTTGATTACCTTTGTTACCGGCGAAACTTTTATTTGCATTATTTATTTGCATTATTGATATCAGGATTTGGAACAAAAGACGTTTATTGTGACAACGGATGGCTCGTTGTGATGAGAAGATATGACAACACAATTATCTTTAATAGAAACTGGAATGAATATAAGCTTGGTTTTTGGGATCCCCGCCTACAGTTCTGGATGAGCAATGAGGCCCTTCATGCGTTAACCAGTCAATGTTGATATGTTGTCCTACAACGGCAATTATTACTACGTCAAATGGAACCTGTTCAAAATTCAGAAAGAGACTGCAATATGCTGCAGACGCCACTACTCTCGAGTCCTACAACACAACGAGCACGGCTGGACTTGAGGAAATCCTTGAGCGTCCTTTTGGAACTACTGACAACATTAATACCTACTCTTCTATTAACTCTAATAAAAATTGTGCTGAGCAACACGTAGGCAATATTACTTATAATTTAAAAAATAATGACATTCCAGCACGGGGTTTCGTTGGCTTAGAGGGCATTATAAAACTCGTATAGGCAAGACATAGCGCCCAAAGTCTACCGTTTTTCTCCTTTCATTTTGGTTGACAGTTATTTTCCTTCTCATCTTTGAGTTTATTCGACAAGTTTTATAAAGTAATGCATAAGATATCGCTGTCTTCTTTAAATACTGAAATAAAAGTTAAGAGCATTATACAATTAACGATGTTGGCTGAAGTTGATTTAATTTTTTCTGATTTCGCAAAACAACATTGACCAAAACGTAAGAGTCAATAAATGTAACATTTATATCATACCATACCTGAAGGTCGGTATACTTTTGTTAAAATTTACATAAGTACCATGCAATATATATATTTATATAGCAAATAACATGGCACACAAACTGCCAAGAATCACAATCGTTAATTTGGAAAAAAATCAAACTGAAGGACGCTTTCTTCAACAATAGGTGTGTCATTCAGAGTAAGTTATGACGGTTTTTTCTTGAGAATATTTTATAATTATCGGTAATCTCTTCGCCCGGACTCCACTCTGAAGATACATATAACACCCAAAGAAATAATACATTTGGATTATCACCAAAGTCATCATTTAACAAAAATGTGGATCTTTTGTTTGAAATTCGTAGTGTTAGGAATAGAATTGCCCTTGATAATGACGTTGTGGATTGCTGTAGGTGCGACGCACACTGCATTGCATTGCAGCGGAACCGCTCAGCATTTCAAGGACCTGTCTGATTTACCACATCAAAAGGCTGAACCGTGAAAATATTGGACAGTGCAGAACGTTCACCTCCTACATTTCTTAAACACACATAATCGCGTTCGTCAACAATTTGTAGTCATTGAGCGGCCTTCTATTCGCCTTTGTGTCTCCGTCATATTTATTATCAACTTTTTGATACATTTTCGGTAAACGCACGTCTCTTTGACCGAGCGCATGTCGGTGAAAGTCGTTTTTTAATGATAATCCTTTACTGAACTGGAAAAATCCAAAGACATTTATTGGAAATGTCCACGTAATTCACCACATTTTGAAACATGTACTGGGATATGATAAACCGAATCACTCATCTGCGGCAGTCCTCAAAATGAAATGATAGTTCATCAAGGATAAGGCCATAACTCCCCGAAACGTACCGTAATGGCCGTCCGCCGTGGCTGACTTCGTACACCGGTGACGTCTCTATGCCGTATGGTCCATAGCACGCGGTGTTCGTCACCAAGGCGATACTCCCAACAAGTAAGTATACACCATGATATTCCGTCACCCTCACGGTATGGATGAACTCGTTATTTGAAAGAACGACGCTGACTGGAGTCCCTGGAGTCTGTCCGCGTATCGAAGTTCCAACGCCGCCATATAAAAAACGGATACTAAAATGCAAATGCAATAATAGATATTTAAAATTTGATAATTCCCGTTGAGACCAAAATAACGCTGGACAAACAAAATATTTTCCTATGTCCGATATCAGTTCATTTTGCAATGTTTTGAGTGCCACTTGAAGATCACTTTTCAGAAGAAATTACCGGAGAGTTTTACTGTTTTCCCCTCTTTACGTGGATTCTAGCGCTCTTTTTTTTTTGTGTCGTACATGCATGATCACATGATCATTTATTCTAAAAAGACGCCAACGCAGATCTGACAACGTGGTTGAGAGCCGCATAGTTAAAATGCCTTGTTTAGCGTATTTTATGGTTATTCACATCCATTCTGAAAACTCAACACTAGTTTTTGCACATTTCATGTCCATCTTCATAGAATGAATGATCTGAAAACGAAATTCATCAAAATATGGTAGGCTTACTCAACTCACCTATATATACCATCATGACCAAATTGGAGATCAAACCCGGTAATGTGACCTTTGTACGCGTAATCAAGGTCACTGAACCTGTTACCACCAGCACCGCCGAAAGGTCCGTAAGGCACATCGCATATTTCTCGGACTACAAGAAAATGAAGAAAAACTGAAATATCATCCTATAAAAAGCAAATTCAATCTTTATTACCAATGTGCCTACTTTCTATGCTTCTTTAAAAAAGAATTTCTCCTATGACTTTTAGAATTTCAAGAAGATGAAAAACAGATGCAAAATGTATTTATTTAATTATTTTCAAGCAAATGCGCCACGCATATCTGTTTTTTGATTTATAGGGTTTTTTTAAACTTGTTATAACTATGGCACAGTAAAAAGGA